TCCCACGACATAGCTCCTTCAGAGCATTCAGGTAGTGATCAAATAGCTCCTCAGTTGTGGCTCGAACCATAATAGTAATAAAGGTTTTGATGTGAAGCTTCTCGAAGTCCGTAAAACCGTACTCACGTTTACTGGTTTCTCGCTTGAGATAATCGATCACATGAAAGTGGCACAGGATAATAGAAGCCTCTAATAATTCAGCCTCGAGTGTAGATAGCTCGGTAAAATCCTTGTCAATCACTATGACTTGGATTTCCTTCCAGCATTCGTTGTTGATCTTGAATGCAGAAATTGCGCTTTGCATGTTCTGTTTAGTTTCACCATCAATCAGTGAATGCTGCGCAAACGCTCCACATCCGAATTTGTCCGTCACCATGAAGCTAAATAGCCGATACCTAGAAAGGAATACCTGACAGTGGTTAGAAAGATATGATAATATAATCTGAGCATAATTGGTAAGTAATTGGTATAGTAATCGGTAACGCAATTGGGTATCGAACTGCTACCAATTATACCAACTATAGCAACAGCGTCACCAAACAAACCAATTACATCATTCAGCTCACCTGTTGATGTTCGTGCCATGAGTTGCATCAATGCAGACCACCTCAGGGAACAGACGCGCCATGCGGCTCATATGACTCGTCTGGAAGGCAATACAGCTCGTTAACTGAGAGTCAGTGTCTCGGTAGACCCTCACCACGTTACCGGGGCCCTCGCTGAAGTCCTGTAGTAGCTCCGTAACGCGAATGTTGTCGTCAAGCGAGGTGTAGGAGTCACGTCTCATCTCCGCGATCATGTTGTTTACATCTTGCGTTTGAATCGGCTTGCCAGAAACATCTTTCAGGAATCGGAGGATTTTTTTCTCTTGGCTCCACCTTCATAAAAACAATCGTAGTGATCCATAAATAATAAAACAATTTCCTGCTTGCTTGCGGCGTACCTTGCCACATTGTCCGAACGACGCTCCGAGTACCAGGTGACGTGATCTTCCGCGTCTCTGCGTATGTATTGAATACGTTCTCGCCGATGGCGTGGTTGTGCGTGGAATCGTGCAGCTTAACGCGCACGCGAAAAGAACCATCCATGTCGACGAACAACAATGCATTCAGCTTCGCAGGACACTGAATTCGACGTGTTGTGTGATTCGTACGCTTCCCCTGCCCTTTAGGCTTGAATTGACCTCCGTGAGTGCATGTCCGGCCCTTCGTGTAGTACCGCAGTGATTCTTCCCATAACTTTGGCTGCGTTCCACGAGCCTCCGCTTGCCGAACATGAGTTCGATTGCGATCTCTAATTGAGTTGCTCGTCCGCAGTTTTTAGACTTGGAATGTATCGCGTTGGTAGCTAGGAACAAAATAAAATTGACCAATTAAAACAAAATTAATAAATAAAATTAATTGCAAATAGTTGTACATACCCGCTGAATGCCGCCTTTATATCATCCCACGAGTCGAATACCCCAGCGAAGGGCTCACACTCCACACAAACTTCGGCTGGGTCAGTGTCGTCTGGATCGCGGAAGTTTCCGTCAACTGGCGGTATGACATCAGCGTCAGCGACGCTCCTCTTCGTCTTTTTGGCTGGTCGATGCGTGCTGACCTCTGGTGACTCCACGCTGCTGCCCCCCGGTGTCTTCTCGTCACTTCCCTCAGCAAGCGTCTCGTTATGCGCGGTGTCTCCCTCGTTGCTGCGCTCGCCTCCTGCCGTCTGCGCGCGCTTGGCCTTCTTTGCGTCCTCCATTCCAGCGAACGGGGGATAAGAAATGAGCGGCCAGGAACGGTTTGAAATGTCAAAACTTTAAAAATCCGAAAAATCTAGTTTGTGGTTAGGTTAAAGTCGGTATCTTGGATTGTACTTTTTCTACAAAATTAGTTGGTGGATGGCACTTTCTTACACTTAAGCTTTATATTATCTAGCGTGCGCTATCTGCATAGATCAGTTCATTACGGTAACTTTTTCAAACGTCATCCGTGAGCAAAAGACGGTCGTTCTTGGTTAGTGAAGCACGCTTTGCAGAGGATATCGACGTGAGACAGCAGTGTGTGGCTTGGCCCGAGGGCTAAGCTTCCTCCTGCCCTCACGTTTCTGCGTCAATTATCGCATTAGCCAAAGCTGAGGCATGCTAAGTCCCTTCCTCGTCCAGAGAACTGAAGACAAGCCGAGCCATGTCGTCAGCTTATCAACGCTGTCACACGCTGACGCGTCCCTTTTTGCCAGAGAAACTCTTGAGAAATGACCCGGCAGAGTAACATTTAACAAGGGATCCTCGGGGCATCATATTTATCATCGCAGTCGAACGCACTATCGTCTTTCCTGTCACTGCGTGATTTCAACACCGAAAGCTAAACTGACACGCTTGTTGCTCATCCGTGACCTATCTCGCATTTTGCCAGTCGATCCGAGCTCACCATGACGCATAAGTCGGCAACGAAGCGCTCGCACATCGCGAACCCCGACCCGAGTGTGGACTGCACCGCTTCGCCCTCCTTTACGCTACCGCCATCGCCCCCTCCAGCGCAGGAGAAGCCGCACAGGTGTCCGCATCAAGGCTGCGGCCGACAATTCAACCGGAAATACACGCTCGTGGAGCACATTAAGCCCCACACAGGCGAGAAACCGCACGTGTGTCCCGTGCGGTCCTGTAGCAAGCGCTTCAGCACGTCGGGCAACCTGTCACGCCACAAGCGCCTACATGGCGTCATCAAGCCTCGCGAATGTCCCATCGAGGGCTGCTACTGCACGTTTCCGAGCGACAATAAGCTCGACAGGCACATGCAGTTCCATCTCGGTAGCCCCGTGCACGTGTGTACCATCGGTACTTGTGGCAAAACATTTAGCACCACGGGCAACCTGAACCGCCACGTGAAGCGCCATCACCCGGACGAGACGTTGCGCCCGCTGCCGCCTAAACACTTTAACGCCGCTGTGCAGATCGAGTCGCCGATGGCTCCTCAGGAGCAGGGGTCTGAATAAAAAATTTCCGTACGACTAAAATCAGTTTTTTACAATAAAAAAGCGGATTATTTCAACTTTCGCAAAAAATATAACATCATATTGGACCAATTTTCACAATACAATGTACAAAAGTAAGCTCATACACATTCCAGGTCAAAACTCGAATTGGTGGACAACAGAGCCTCGCTCACCACCATATCTTGTCGAATCTATACGCCATACTTACTTGTTGATGTTAAAACGACTGGTTACAGTAGTAGGTGAGGTCGAGAAGCCTCTTGTACTTCGCTCGCTCACTTTTCAAAGTAACCTCCCGCCTCAAACATGCTGACAAACAACAAGGACATCTGCGCGTACTTCTACGAGGCCCTCGATCAAGGCCGTTATCGCTGCAAGCAGTGCGGTAACGAGAGAAAGCAACTTGCCAATACTGGCTACTCGAACCTGATCGCTCACCTCGCTCACAAGCACCCCGGTTTCAAGACTCAGCATGCAGCCTCCCTTTCTACAACATCTAAAAGTCTCCAGGACTTTGGGTTTGTCTCCGAAGAGACGACACATCGTTTCCAGTGGATGCAGTGGGTCATCGAGCGCAATATGCCGCTCTCAGAAGTTGACAACGAGCTGACACGATCGATGTCGAAATGGACATCCATTTCTTCGCTCGTTCTTCTCAACGCAATGCACGACGTGGCCAAGAAAGCTGGCAAGACGATCGAGTCGATGCTGGGCAGCTGTTTTGGAATAATGTTCGATGGATGGTCGAGTGGCTCCATGCACTACATCGCCGTTTATGGTGCTTTTGATACAGATGGGGATATGCGTCTGCAGCTGCTCGCAGTGTCTCCCCTTGATGACGGATCGCAGGATGCAGATGTGCACATCAAGCTCTTTGACGGTGTATTGGATGTCTACAACAAGACGCTCGACATGGTGGCGTTTATTGTTGGCGATAACTGCAGCACCAACCAGTCGATCGCCACCAAGCTTGGTGTTCCGCTTGTTGGTTGTGCCAGTCACCGGTTTAACTTGGCGGTTAACAAGTATCTCGCTGATTACGAACCGCTACTAGCGCAAGTTAACACGCTGATGTCAAAGTTATGTCAAGTTAATAACTTCGCCGAACTTTCAAAAGTGACCAGCCTCCATCCCATCAAACGGAATATGACGAGATGGAGTTCCAGTTTTGAGATGCTTCAGCGCTACATTCGAATTCGCCCTCAGATCAAGACAGTGGACGCCGTGGAGGAGCTGATCCCGACCGGTGCGTCACATCGGAAGCTGGTCGCTCTTCTTGAGCACATGAAGAAGTTTCAAAGCGTGACGAAGAAGCTGCAGACTGAAGGTATTGACTTGGCGGACGTGCGCCTTCTCTTTGACTCTGTGGTCGCTGAGTACCCATGCATGCGTGGTCACCTGAAGGCAGACGCTAACATCGTACATTCTCCTGTGTTCGAGTCGGCTGTCGTCAAGGTCATCAACGGCGTCAATCTTTCCAACGCAGAGTCGCAAGCAGTCAAGCGGTTTGAAGTGCCGGTTTGTGGCAACAAGAGGAAGATTCGTGCCGAAGACTACGCGACTCAGATCCTTCGTGCTGGGCCAGGCAAGCGGTCCAAGCAGGACAAAGGTGCTATCTACAATTCTCTCCTAAAGCACCTTCCACCGACATCAAACACGTGCGAGAGACTTTGCTCGCAATGCAAGCTGGTATTAACTCCACAGCGTACGTCCATGCTACCCGCCAATTTCGAACTACTAATGTTTCTTCGGGCAAACAGGAGCCTGTGGGACGTGACTACATTGGCATCCGTTCGAAGTGAGTCAGAGTCATGATAATACATTGCAGTATTTGCGGTCGATTTTATTATTGCTTCTTTAGGGATTGAATCATTATTACTGCTGTGGTCGGCAGGAAATTCCGTATAATATTGAATTGGAGAAGCCCTGCTCAGGAGCTCCAAGTTCACATTCCGTCGCAGCAACTAGTGCAACAGTATCCTGTTGACATAACTTACCAGTTTCCCAGCCCTCGCGTCCTCCCAATGAAGAGAACGATGGACATCGCTTCGTCGTCTTTCGCTCCGGGCGTAGCGCAACAGTACTACGGCGGCAGTGTGACTGGGTGGACCCGAGCAAGTCCGGTGCAGGTCGTACCGTCTCAGGTGTCATCCTCCCTGAATGTCACGCCCAGATGTACTCGCAACCCTGGCATCGTAGACGTGCTGTCGTCCATCTTCGACGAGATGGAGTACACCTCCGCGGACCCGCAGAAACCGCTGCCGGCTCCACCACTTAAGCCAAAGCCGCAGAGTTTGTTCGACGCTATGGTAAACTTTCATGTCGACCACATTAAGCTATGAAAAAGTGTCCCTCGAGACGTCTTGTCAGTACATGGTAGCGTACAAAGTTATGAAACTGGATACGATTGTGGATTCACTTCCGCTTTTGCGCAGAGACCGTGATGCAATTGTGAATGAGTTTATGATAGCGGAATGAGTTTTTGATATTATCACGGAAACGCCTTACGATCTTAAAAAGGCTCGCGTTATCAGCCAGCCCCTTACGTTTATTTTAGAAGTCTGGCCGAAAAGAGACGATGCTGTATTAATAGCAGCTACGTGAACACTACTACCGTCTTACCCCGCATATAAGGCATATGTGCTCTAAATAAAATACGGGATTCGCTCGACATCTAGCTTAAACCTCAATTTGACCACCTACCTAATTAGAACACATGTGCCTGACACCTACTTAAAACACAAGGCTGTACCAACCAATGAATATTCGTGAGAGCTCCCAACCAACCACCCTTCTGAACAAACTTGTCGGTGCTGCTGTTACTCGGCTTTAATTCTCTAAAAAAAAAAAACACAGCCATGAGTACTGAGCGACGTAGCTATAGGTAAGTACTGTTGACAAGGACAATAAGCTGGTGTCCAAATTCTCGTACACGGTTGAAAATCCTCTGAAAACGCTGTGCTTGGTTCGCTCCGGATCATATTTCGCAGTGAAAGTAGATGGATACATAATATAATACACGTGATTACATGTAATGCAAACAATTCTTATTAAAAGAAAAAAAACAATAATAGAATTCATAATATTACAGTAACAAGCAAAACCTCCGCAACAGAAAGAAAAACCCGTTACCAATCACAACATCATGTGAACTGCACGCAGGCGGGTTTGAACCCTACCCGATCGCGTAGGAGGGTCAAGCAAGCCAGATTCCAGGACCCACAAACTTGATTCTTCAAAGTCAAACAATTTGTTCGCTGTACAACACATAGGCATTCTAAACGAATATAACACACAAGCAGTGTTGTATTCATTTACAGCACATATGCCTTATATGCGGGGTAAGACGGTAGTACCGGTACTGTAGAAGTAGCAAACTAAAAAAAATGATGCCCATTAACTGATTTACTAACTTTATTTCACAAAACACTACTACGCAGTATTTATTTTTAAGCCATCGAGATGCGGGAGACGTGAAAGTTGATCATATCGTCGAGGATACTTACTTTGCCGTGGTTTTCGGTTTCTCTGGTCTGTTCGTTGGTGGGTTCGTCGAAAATGTCCGAGAGGACGTCGACCATCTCGTCCAAGTGTCCGGTCGTCGTAGGAAGCATTTGGAACATCTCACACTGTTCTGGTGTGAACTGTGGAAGACTAGACACATCAATGGCAGGTGGCTGGGAGACCTCCATGCTGCTATCGAGCAGGAGCGCCGTGTAGGAGGACATCGACTGCTGCTCGGCACTGGTGGGGCTCGATGCACTAAAATCAAACGACGAGCTGGTGGATACCTCGTCAATGTGCTGGTTCTTGACGTGGCGGTTCAGGTTGCCCACGGTGCTGAAGGTCTTGCCGCAGTGGTTGATGCTGCACACGTGTACAGCACCTCCGAGATGGAATTTCATGTGCTTCTCGAGCTTGTTATTGCTGGGGAAGGAGCTCAAACACCCTTCAACGGGACATTGTAGTGGCTCAATATACCCGTGGAGACGCTTGTGTCTCGACAAGTTCCCGGACGTGCTGAAGCGCTTGACACACGTTTTAACGGGACACACGTGGGGCTTCTCACCTGTGTGCGTCTTCATGTGCTCGGTTAATGTGTACTTGCGAAAAAATGAAGCGGCGGTCACAGCCTGGTTCCGTGCAGTGGCAAACAGTGGGCGTAGATCGAGCTTTGTCGACAACAATGGGGGAGCTCTCCGTCGGATGTAGTGGAGCCGATACCTGGCGCTTGAACGTCACGGCACTTTTGACTGTGGCGGTGGGGTCAGTGGAGACTTGCATGTTGCTACTAGGGTCGGAAGGCAATGACAAAATGGCGAAATAATTATTAATCGCGCGCGCGTTGAACGACGGACAGCGAGGGCGGTGGCTAATACCACTAGCATTTAGAGCAATCAGACGACGTCACTGCTGGTCTAGTCGAGCGAAGTGGGACCTACAAAGGATAGCCATCGCCACGGGCAGACCGAGGACGCCTGTCGCCACCGGCTGGGCCTGAGATATGGCACCATTGTACCATTAATAGTGCATGTATTATAAGAGTACTGGTCCAGTAAGTCGGCAAGAACGTGTGACAGCGAGCTGCCATCTTGTGCACAGTATTACTGTGCACACCGGCGGTGGCAGCTGTTCAGTAATGTGACGTACCTTTGCGGGGGCATCAACGCCTCGTTTTGTGACGTTTTTCGATTATGCTCCGGTCGTGTCCACTTTTCGGGCGATCGAAAGTACTTGATTGAAATGCTGGCTGCCCGCCGATTTGAGACGGGTAGCGTTCATGATGGTCGCCGTCCAGCGCGAGCGGCAAGACGCTAGCTTCATGGCTGGAGTGATTGCTCAGCGGCCTCGAGGCTTTTTCGCGCAGCGCGCCTGCCGCACAATAAGCCGAGCGCAGGCGGCCAGCGCGGTGACTCGTGTTCGTCAAACCAGACCACAACGAGTCGCCTGGTACAAAATAGCCGTCGTTCAGCGACGGCTATCCTATTAGTCGCTCGCGCCACGCTCGGGTATCCGTCGTTCCAAGCTGATACTTTGTTTAAGTTAAAGCATGTACTACATGTACGGTATTGTATTTATACAGCCTTCTCGGGGAAGCTTATCACGACGATGGCCGGCGGCAGATGCTTGCCATCGACGACGCACTGATGGAAGATTGGTCAGTCCGCTCTCTACGAAAGAGAGCGTGCAAGTTCGGCGGCTACTTCACGAACTTCCGATGAGTCCACCTGCGAACTTCGCGCTGTTCGAAAGATGTCCGCAAGAGAGTCGGCGTGAACAGCACACGAAACGATGCCACTCTGCCTCGAGAGTCAAACGACCTGGAATTGAAGCGCTGATGTGAGTACTGTACAGTGTACACCTATACCTGTCAACTGGGGTTCTGTTGACGGTTGAGTAGCGCGCGAGTATCGTCGTGTGGAGTAGCACGTGCGGCGACGTAAAGCCGTTCGAGCCATGGCCACCACAGAGCCTATGCCGATGGCTGCGAGACCACAACAATGCTACTGGTAATGGACAGCGCCTTCGACTTCGATTTTCGGCGCTTCGGATCAAGGATCTACAGCCGCAAATCGGGGCGCCATAATCACTCCGTGAGCTGGAAGTGCTCACTTTACCAGTTGCTCTCTGTCCTTCTGGTGCGCGAAGCAACAGCCTCGAACTGCTCTCCATTATCACACATCAGCGATGGCAGACAATTCCGCCGACGCGCCCGAGGACCTGCTGTTCCACCGCTGTCCCGAGCCCAGTTGCCGCCGCCAATTCAGCCGCAAGTACTCGCTCAACGAGCACATGAAGACGCACACGGGTGAGCGGCCGCATGTCTGCCCTGTGCGCTCCTGCGCCAAGAGGTTCACTACGTCCGGGAACCTGGCACGCCATAAGCGCTTGCACGGCTACATCGAACCCATTCTATGCCCTGTAGAGGGCTGTATCTGCGCCTTCTCGAGCGATACAAAACTTGAGAAGCACATGAAGTTCCACTACGGTGGGCCTGTGCATCTGTGCGAGGTGCCAGGCTGCGGCAAGACCTTCACCACCACGGGCAATCTCAATCGCCATACGAAGAACCAGCACCCTGATGTCTTCGCACTGCACACACCAAACGCAAAAACATCAGCGCTCGACACTCGGAGCCCCACGACGGCCGATGGGTGGCGTCCGGAATCGCAGCTCGCGGCCCCGCAATGCCGTTTGAAACGAGCGTGGTCGACCGGAACGAACCCGCTGCCGACGGAATCGTTTAACCGCAATGGCTCAGAGACCCTCGAGGTGCTGGATGAAACGCTGGATAATCTTTCTGCTCTTCTGGTCGAAACGGGCCTCGACGGCACCTCTAGTGACAGGAAGAGCAAACTCGTGGACGACATCATCCGCTTTCACGTCCAGGAGCTCGGGAACTCGTAGATTAACATGCTACCATCAAACTAGAAGCCCAGTAGACAACTACCGACAGAATTCACTAAAACTAATGAACATCCACTTCGACATCCACAGAATCTTACTTTGCTACAAGCTCGTACGGGTTTGCTACAAGAGAACCGATGCACTAGCATGAAAGCGGATCAAACGTCGTTGCTAATACAATTGTTTCCATAGCAACATCCACGACGATCCATTGCTAAGGCACGCCACGGCATCGCTGTTGACAGACCTCCATCCAAGTGTAGTGTCCCGACGACTCGACCACAGCATCTTGATTTCCTATCTCCTGACGTCGGTGGATCTTTACTCAAGGATTTCAGTCCTGTGTGCGTGTTTTTTTTTCGCTGCGCGTTGCGTGGGTGGACCATAATACAATCGGTCTTGATTTCGCTCCATGTCCAGGAGTTTGACTCGGCTTTCGTATCTGCTGGGGAGCGACGTAACGCCACCTCGCTATTGCAGCATACTGAGCTTACAACGGCAAAAGTGGACAGGGAGCTTCCCTGGCTTAACGTATTAATAGTACATGTAAGTATTAATACATGTTGCGCGATAAGACAGTATCTCACACTTGGTCCTGTGGCTCTTCCTCTACGAACAGCAGGGCGGCGATCTGCTGTCACACGGCGTTCGGCTAGCTGAACTCGATGGTGTAACGGTCAAGTAGTCGGAATTGACTTGATTTCACTAAGCTCTAGCAGAAAAAGGCGCAGCGATCGACTGATGGTCCACCCCGATGGATTGCGCCTCACTCAGCTCTCAGCTCACTTTCCAATTTGCCATCTTCGCACAAACTACCAGAACATGACGAGTCCCACCGTCTCCTTCGAGGCCAATATGGCCCCCGATCTTAAGCGCATGCACAGCGAGTCGGGTGTCTACCGCTGCGCCGAAGTGGGATGCCACCGCGAGTTCAACCGCAAATACACGCTCGCTGAGCACGTCAAGACGCACACGGGCGAGCGTCCGCATCTGTGTCCTGTTCCCACTTGTGGCAAGCGCTTCAGCACCTCTGGTAACCTCTCACGCCACAAGCGTCTCCACGGCTACATCGAGCCGCTCAAATGCCCCGTTCAGGGCTGCATCTGCACCTTCCCGAGTAATATCAAGCTCGAGAAGCACATGAAGTTCCACTGCGGAAGCGACGACGTCAAGGTGTGTTTGGTGCCTGGCTGCGGCAAGACCTTCACCACGACGGGCAACCTCAACCGTCACCGGAAAAATCACCCCGGCGATGCCGCCTCTGGTTGCGTAACGTACGCCGTAAGCCCCACGTCGTCTAAGACCGTCGTCGTCGGCAGTCCTTCAGCCACCGAGCAGTGGATCCCAATGACGCCTCTTGACGACTTTACGCTCTGGTCAGAGACCCTCAGTGATTTCACTGAGACGGCTACCAACCAGGACCTGCTCGAAGCACTCGAGTCCTTTCTCGACGAGTACGAGCCACTTCAGCTTTAGAAAGCAGCTCGACGGCACCTTAATTTATTGAGCTAGCACGAATGTATATTAACAGTAAACAACCCCACGTTTCAGAACTACTTGATATACAAAATGTTCGGATTCTGACAGTTGCGAAAGCTCGCCCTTGGATACTTTAGTACATGTATTCTGCAACGACTACACAGATCTTGCGCTTTGCCATTGCCTTGGCTCTCGCCGGTGAGAGCATCATCTTCACGACTCTGATTATTCTCGCTAGCAGTGACAAACGCGAGCTGCCCAGTCTTGCATCGCACGCGACGGGGTGTAGCCAGGCTTGCGCCACCAAGCAGTATGGGTGCAGACGAAATATGTCAGTGGACACTTGCAAGCCGCAGCTGTTTAGCGCTGTTTGTGGCAAAGCGCGCGAGTTGTGACAGCTTCACGTAGATTTTCGGTGCTGATCTCGCAGCACCTTGGTGTCACACTCATGGCCTTTGCGCTGCGCACGGCGATCAAATCGGTTCGTGTCCACTCCAGAGTCCCGCCACGAGGCCTCTCTCAACTGCAACGCCGGGACCAGCTCAGCTCATGGCGCGTACGCCAAAGAGCTGCAGACGACGCTCACTCATTCTGCAGTTGGTTGCTCACCACACAAACAGCAAAGCCCCCATCTCAACTGAGGGCATGCTTTCGTGTGGCCTCAAACGCCGGCTGTCCGACACCTCGTCCGTGTACGCTTGCTCCTTGCCGGGCTGCAAGCGGCAGTTCACCCGCAAGTACACGCTCATGGAGCATACAAAGACTCACACCGGTGAACGCACACACATTTGCCCCGTGCCCACGTGTGGTAAGAGTTTTAGCACGTCTGGCAACCTGTCCCGTCACAAGCGTCTTCACGGATACATCGAACCGCTTAAATGTCCTGTACAAAGCTGCATCTGCACTTTTCCAAGCAGAAACAATCTGGATAAGCACATGAAGTTCCACTGCGGCACGGACAACAAGGTCTGCGCCGGGGTGCGGTAAGACCTTCGCCACAACCGGCAATCTGAACCGACATTTGAAAAACCAGCACGGTCTCAGCAAGCAGGAGACATCCACACCGGCAACAATGGATCTGCCTGCGCTCAACCACGGAGCGAGCAGCCCCACAAGTGCAGAGCAGTGGCTTCCCCTCCCGACAACTGTTGTCGACTCGCTTTGGAGTGAAGACGAACCGTCTTGGGCGACTCTATCATCCACGGAGATGCTCGAAGACGTCTGGAATCCCGTTTTGCTTGACACGCTGGTGAATATATTGGACGACCAGAGCACATTTCCATGTTCGGAATTTGATTTCTTTCAAATAAACAAGTTTTAAAGCTACATCAACCTGTCCTCCAATCCAAGACTCGCCGCGGTCATTTTTCTAGGTGAACTTGTATTAATACATGGCATGTGCTACACTGGATACCATACGAGATTTACTAAACGAGTTTTGTTTGATAAACACGAATACACATGGAGAAGCAGCCAGCATTGACCTCGTTACCACGTGTTGACGCGATTAGATCGCATAAACAGCAGCTAAATGCATGGCGAAAAGCGCTTCAGCGTCTCGCCTTTCCCCTCCACCCATCGCCTCGAAGATCTTTGTAATGATTTCTCATGCACTTAAGCTAGTTGTTCGCAACAAGTTGTTCCTGACGTCTCCGGAAGCGTAGGGCTGGAAGTTGCTACAGCTCACGATTTGGACAGACACGCAGTGAAAATTCAACGAGACTTCTCTTTTATTATTGGTTTTAATATCTGGGCAACCGAGACTAATGGTAGTTCATCTGTCAATATATCATGGTTACCGTTTGAATACATGCATCCCGAGTGCCCATAAGTGCTCTCCCTCCCAAAGTCAAAACACATGCCTGCCGGATATCTGATAGAACTGACGGAGCTGTTAGCTACAACGGTAGGTCATTCTCAAATTTGCTGTGGACACGTCAATTCAAGAATCGACGCACTACAAGATGAACCCGGTGTTTTACAGCTTCCCGGTGCAACCATTACCGATGCATGGTCAAGGTTTCCTACCAATGCCAGTGTTTCAATACAATCAGAACTTTCGGTGTGCCCAAACGAGCAGACTGCTTGCTCGTAAGCGAGTCCACGTGTGTCCTGTAAGTTCGTGTGGCAAACGGTTCACGACGTCGGGTAACCTGTCACGCCACAAAAGGCTGCACGGCAAGATTGATCCGTTGAGCTGCCCCATCGACGGCTGTATCTGCGAGTTCCCGAGTACCAACAAACTGGAACGACATCTCAAGTTTCACTACGGTGGGGACGTCAACCGGCAACTTGAACCGCCACATGAAGAAGCACCATGGAGAAATATCGTCCACTCCCACTGCTGCTACCGGCGTGGTAAATCCTACACAAAACGTTTACTACAAGACGAGTACGAAGACCGTGAGTCCCTGTTCTATCGACAGCGGCGAATCCGACACAGAGTCAGACTCGGACGCCTCGTGGTGGTCGACTCCGTCAGAGTCAGGAAACCGTGCAGTTTCGCTTGACTGCGTATGGAATGACGACCTACTCGACACTTTAGCGTGTATTCTGGGCGCTGACGTCGAGCCGAAGCAGGAGAAAGCGAACCGATGGTAGTGAGGTGTTCGTGTATAAACTGAAGGAACGCGAAATAATGTACAATTCATTTTGCTAAGCTCAGTGATATCCGCTCATCTTACTATCATACTTAGTACACGATAATGGCAGAATCCGCATGATTTCGCCCCCGCATTGTAAACGCCAGTATCGGTGCTAGCAAGCGCCCGGGAAAAATATTCATACGATCGCCACTACGCTACAGTATTATTAATGCAATGCATTATAGTCACGTGATTCAGGAACATCGAATGGCACGAGCTTGTGCTGCCAAAGCCTTTTCCGTATTGCCACCGTCAACATCGACGAGTAGACCACGGCGGGGTACGTGCATTTGCTGTCCACGTTGAAGATCCATTAGATCGAGATTTGAACTTCAAATGGTGCGAAGGATTCGAGCGTAATCGTGGATTTCGGCAGTCGCTACGAGCAGCATCAGGCCCGTGACGATCGGGTTTCTGCCGTAGGCATTGTCACTGGACCACCTTGGCAGTGGATGGCTCAGCGGGGCTGTCATACGGCGAGCTTCCTGCATGTAGTAGCGCGGCACGCCAGCTCGACGCGCGGTGATAACCTGCTGTCGGTATCCGTGTCGTCGTGTACGGATCAGACTGTCGGCCAGCACTGCAGCGTACACTCGTTAGATAGAGGTGGTGTGTGGTCATGGTTGTGCCTTTCGAGTCCTTCGTGGCATGGCGCACCGAAAAACGATCAGCAAGATGGATGCCCGCCTCAAGTCATCAGCCTTCGTCCGCGGCTTTAGGCCTTCCTGGGTCCAGAACATAGGATACGAATGCTTCAGCCCACCGTTGTCTGCTGGAGTGAATTCAGTGCCTCCACTGCAACGCTGCAATCTGTCACCGAGGTGGGACCTACGAGCAGACACAACGATGCCGTCATTCTCACGTGTTTGAGTCAGCTGGCCAGCTCGTGGATGACAGTGGCTCAGCTTACCTAAGATCTCAGGGAACGTGATGGCCTACAGACCGAGTCACACGGCTCATCGGCGTGAGCGCGGCCGCCAACTTGACTCCACAAAGACCAGCTACCCCACGTCATTATCGCTTTGGCTCTGCACGGGCTAAAGCTCTCACTGTACAGTGCACACAAAGCTATTCGTCGTCATGGTAGCGCATATCGATGCTTAACATGAGCCGCAGACACTGCCACGGTCGCCGTCGTACACCGTGAAGTCGACGAGTGTGAAGCGCACGCGACCCGCCAGTCACGTGTGCCCGGAGCTGGGCTGCACACGTCGCTTTAGCCGCAAATACACGCTCGCTGAGCACATCAAGACCCACACGGGTGAGCGTCCACACGTGTGTCCCGTTCGCATCTGCGGCAAGCGCTTCAGCACGTCCGGTAACCTTTCCCGTCACAAGCGTCTTCACGGCTACATCGAGCCGTTAAAATGCCCCGTTCAGGGATGCATCTGCACGTTTCCAAGCAACAACAAACTGGAGAAGCATATGAAATTCCACTACGGAAGCACAGTCAAGGCGTGTCTGGTGCCGGGCTCTGGCAAAACCTTCAGCACAACTGGCACCACCTCAAGCACCAGCATCCGGATCTCCCGGCAGCTCAGATTCAGGATCAAACTCAGCAAGTCTCGGTACCTCCAGTCGTCACCATGCCACAGGTGATGCCACCGCAGTTTATCCTCCGTAGTCCCACGAGCGCGGAGCAGTGGCCCGTTCCAAGTTCGACAGCTCCTGTTTTCAAGCCTTGTGCGTCGACGTGCTGGCCGCAGCAGGACACGGTCCAGCAGCACCAGGTGACGTTGCCGTACGGGCATGAAATACCACTGGGCATCTACTCGCCTACACGGTCATGCTCGGAGCTGTTCGAGGACGTGTGGAACTCCGAGATGCTGGACACTCTGGTGAATGTGCTGCACGACCCCACCGTGCGTTGTTAAAAGAAGAAAACGTTAAATACTTCACTATTTAGGGGGTCTGCGGTCTGTTGTTGTAGTAAGTACTCTGGTACCTAAATACTAGTAACGTTAGTAGTATATGTCAGCGTTCTCAGCCAAAGCGTCAACAGTGCAGACATACACTTCGCCACCAGTGGGTAAGCCTAACTTCGCTTAGGCTGCCTAAGCCCGAATTGACTGTTTCCGTTATTTCTTGGCGCAGTGGACTAGCGAAATGTTAAAAAAAATTAAGCCTCAGTTTCAGCGGCTGTCGATCTGAGCAGAATAATTCATTGCTTGAGTTGACGAAGACAGCCACGAGCAGCAGTGCTCGTCAAGCGCCAAGCTACCGAGTACGTGTACCGTCATGAAAACAACAGTACTCGGTCCATGACGACTCGAACATCGAGAATATCGGAAACGAAGTATGTCTTTATCTCATGTGTCCATCACACAGCAGTGGCGGCAGGCGTGAACACTGCTGGGCGGTTCTACATGTAGAGTCTTGGTGTCAAGTGTCTGTTAAATACATGCAAAACTTTAGCTGCATGAATGTACCGCTACTTGAGTTTTTGAAATATAACTTGCACCTTCAGCCGCTCATATTTGAAACTGGGCAGCTCTGCGACGGCCACGCGGTAGATTCGCGCCGCGCTAGTTGGCGTTGCGAGAACGAGGGACAGCGTGCGAAGGATAGGACGATGGCTGGTAGACTACATGAGTCGGGCTTTAGAGCTGTGGTTGTAGTTCTTACCACTTGTATGCGTTTGTGTGCGAACAGAAGCCCGAAGAACGCAAAATGTCAACGGACAACAGAAAATCACGTATAACGCGCTCGGGATCGAGGATGACGACGCCAGCGACGAAGACTACGTGTTGGAGGCCATTTCGGAGGATGAGGAAGAAGATGAGGACCTTTCCTCTGGCAAATTAAACGAGGGAAGCACAACAGCTGCCGGTAAGGTTGTTTGCTGCACTTTACGTTACTACATGTTTTGCTGAGCTGTTGTGTGGGGTGTACATGCATTTAGGAAAGCCAAGCGCTCAGATTAACAAGAGCAAAACGATACAGGGCAACGTGAAACCAGGTATGGTTGCTATATGCGTAAGGGTTGCTTTATTCATCATCTTATAAGCTCAAATTTTTGCTTGCTGCTAGATTCGTAGGCTACTAAAACATTGCTGAAGCGCACTTCACCTCATATGCCAATAAAGTCTTCTCTGGTTAAGCGGAAAAGGCAGGAAACACCAGTGCAATCAAGTGGCGAATATTCGCCAAGAAAACGCGTGAGCAAGCACCTCACAGAGCTACAATCAATGAACTCAGGTGAAAATAAGATCCTGAATACAGTTCCAGCTTTTTGGCCGGCCAAGATGATTAATTCTTGGGAGGAATTTTTGAGAAGATCTTCGATGCATACAAGAAGAAGTTAAAGCTCAAGTTTCGGGTGCGGGGCTCAGAAAAGACGGCTCTTTACAACAGGTAAGTTTTGCTGTTAGCTTTGGCTGTATATCCAGACTAAAAGTGGTTATTGTATCTGTAGCACCCATGAAGATCATATACCTACCGAGTTCGAGTGGTTCCAGAGGATTTACCGCTGCACGCACGGAGTATCTCAGGCCTCTAGATCTAAAGGCCACCGCAACCGGTCGACACGTTACTGTAGCTGCAAGGCAAGATTAACGGCCGTTGTCTCTCGCTGTGTGGACGATACCTATAAGATTGTTGTTCGGAACGAGGTATGTGACGAAAGCGTGCTCATTATCTGTTTGATTCTTTAACTTTTGTTTGACTTTGTAGAACCACACGCACTCACACCTAACTCTCGGCACGGAGGTCTCTTCCTACCTCACGACCAACACTCTACCGCTCGATGACCGCGATCGCGAGGATGTTAAGACCTTGGCTGACGCCCGTGTGTCGTCCTCCCACATCACCCGCTTTTTAAATGATCGCCTTGGTACGTGATGTAGCTATTTACGTGATGTAACTTCTTTAATTTTTTGCTTACATTACGTCAACTTCTTCTTAGAATGTAAAGTGACGCCACAGCAGACGCGTAATCTTATCCGTAGCATCATGGGGAAGGATTCCGGTGAAGACCGTCTCAAGAATATGCTTCACGCTCTTCGGCAGCTTGATGGCAGCGATGTGCTCGTCATTCAAGACCAGTTTGACGTCACGTGCGGAGTTGTTATGCAGACAAAAATTCAAAAGATGATGTTTGAGCGGTGGGGGGAAACGTTGGCAATGGACTTTACGCATGGAACGAATAACCTGGGCTATCATCTGGGTACGTTTGACACAGCAACCTTACCTGATATAGCAACCCCCTGTAGCAACCTTAATTGATACAGTAGCCGTTGTGGCAACCTTATCCGCTATCGCAACCTTGCTGATCATCATGTATTTCCTTGCTGGTAGGGAGTTTGGTAGCACCACATGCACGGGTCGTGGCTTCCCTGTGGTTGATTTCATTTGCCTCAGTGAGCAAGCAAAGACGATCTCCACGATTTTGGAGTACTTCAAGGAGAAGAATTCGTGTTGGGATCAAGTCGTGAGCGTGGTCATTGATAAAGACTTCACTGAATGGAAGGTACTTGAAGAGTCCTTCCCCAATGCGAAAATTCTCCTTTGCCAGCTCCACGCAATCTCCTACTGGAAGAAGATTATGAAGAGGTCTGTCTACGGAATTAAGACTGCGCAGAGTGAAGAGCTACTTGCCTTGATGGTGGAACAGCTTTTCAGGTATGTCGCCACGGTTCTTTCGATACACATATCTTGTCTTACTTTCTGAACTAATTGTTATCTTAGCTCAACGCAGGATGCATACGACACTTACTACAAGAACCTTCAATCGTACTGCCAAAGTAACAAGAAACTCGTTTTCTTTGCGTATTTTGACAAGAACTGGAACACATGCAATGACATGTGGTCCAACTTTGCACGTGGTAAACATTTTACTGCTGGCAATACAGCTACCAACAGGATCGAATCTAATTGGAACCAGCTCAAGATGCTGCTCGGGCGTAAAACAAGAATTGACCAGACCATCGCTGGATTGCTGCAGCACCAGATGATGACTATCACGCAGCAGATTGTCTCGGAGATCGGGCAGCTGCACTCGAGTACACGGAGGCTTAGGTCGGTGTCGACGTTTTTAAGAGCAGTTGGGGGCAGAATATCAGCGTATGTTTTGGAGACAATTAGGCGGGAATGGGAGCAATTTGTGAATCTGATGAAAGAAACAACATGTGTACAGACATTATCGGTTTCGAAATGGAACGTATACTGTCGCAACCAAGGATTTGAGTGCGATGACGTGGACTGGAAGTGCACCTGTCTGTTTTCAACCACCAACCACTTGCTGTGTCGGCATCTCATGCACGTAGCGCACAAAGGACATGGATTCGAGATGCTTCCTGTTATAACAATTTGCGAACGGTGGAGTACAATGACAGCGTTGAAGCATTTACGGCCGCTGCTGATACTCTGAGTTCAATCGTGCGGATGTCGAAGTTAAGGTTGCCAAAGTTAAGGTTGCCCGATGAACCTTGTGTTGACCTTCCTACCTCATCAGCGCCGAAGACGTCACCGAAACAAGTTGTGTATGTTCGCCTGCGACGACGGGAGCGTGCCAACAAGGTTGTTCTTTCTTCAGGCGAGAAGTATTCGCTTGCAAAGGCAATGGTTGAGCCGCTGCTGGAACATCTTGCCGACTTGAGCAGCGCAAACGTTTATGACGAATTACAGGCGTGGAAAAATACATTAGAAGAAGGACTGCGCCTTGGCAAATCACGTACGAAAAAAAGTGCTGTGTTTGCCGATCATGAAAATGGAGAAGTTGAAGAAGTTGAAGATCTCGATGATGATTTGAGTTCTATTCTAGATCCAGCAGACGCAATGGCAACTGTCAAACTGATGGAAAATCTGCAAATGGACAGCCAGGATGGCGCCATGGATAGTATCAACAGTGGTGATGACGTCCCTCCAACACAACTCGCAAAAGAGCAAAAGGTGAAGTCACCAACTCCACCTCGTGCCACTAGCTTTGGTGAGCCGACTTCTGGCTCCAAAAAGAACGAGACGGGTGATGTTCGAGACGAAGGAGAGACAACTCGTCAAGTAGACGTTATCAATGTTCCAAAACCGATGCGCCGAAATCTGTCGCGTACCACGCCGACACAGCTACGCCAATCAAAGATTTCCCCAGGTGTATCGCGGCTAGCTGTACACAATTATCCCAGCGGGCTAACAGTGAAGCTGCACGAATTTGTGACGTGGGCCCGCAATACACCAAACATGAAGAACATCCTGGCTATCATGCAAAAATACCCAGTGCAACTGACGGATGCCTATCTACGATCGCGAGTGATTGAGTGCCATTGGGAAGCTATGAGGTCTGAGGACAACATGCACCCTTTTGTAATCCCCGTGGATCTTACACGGTCAATGAAGGCTGCAATATGTACTGCACGGAAGGAGCAGCGCGAACCCGACAAACTCGACTCAACTGTGTCACAGAAAGGTGTTGTTCTCGACATTGTTGCAACAATTGACTCAAAGCTCTGGAAGTTCTGCAGGTACGGTTGCTTTATCGTTATGGTTGCTATACAGAGTTGTTTTATCTTTATGGTTGCGATACAGGGTTGCTTTACTAATGTGGTTGCTACCTCGATTACAGTCGATATGTAAATGCAGCAAGTGTTTTCTACAGAGTGAAGGCCAAGGCCAAGTCTTGGGTCGAAGATCGAAAGTGGCTGGAGAGAAATTGGATTAAGGTGGACTCGGATGTTGACCTTTTCGCAAAGGAAACAAAAACTTGGGGTGCTACACGAGAGGCCGTTCGAAATCGACATCAAGTCCTCGCCAATGAAGTAATTTCAAAGTTTTCAGACTGCCGTCTTCGCAGCGAGTATGCCACCAAGTGTGGCAAGGTCACCATTTGCTTCGAAGACGTGGTTGGAAGTGTTTGTCGAGGGTGGCTCTCGGACAGCTCGAT